CTGGGGCCATGGCTGCACAGGAGCTACGCTGGCTCACCTACGTGCTGACTGACTTGGGAGAGCAGCCTCGTTTGCCTCCAGTCCTGTACGTAGACAATAAGGCCATGATTGCCTTGTGTGAGGAGCACAGACTGGAGCACAGAACGAAGCACATCGCTCTGCGATACTTCCTTGCTCGAGAGTTGCAGCAGCATGGTCAGCTTCGTCTTGCGTACGTGGCCACTAGGGCCAACACTGCTGATATATTCACCAAGCCACTTCAGTTTGGTGATCATCAGCACTTCTCTACTATTTTAGGCCTTGTGCCTACTTTGCCTCACTTGCTCACTACGTGACTTTGCTTGTACTGTGATTTATATATGTATAAATACTTGCATGCTTACACTAGGTAGGCTATGATCACTTTACTGTTTGTGCTCTTTATATACAACACTGCATATGAACTGGCCTTGTGGCCCTTTGCTTGTGCTTGGACTGTGTGGTGACTTTGTGATCCACCCTGAGCTTGCTTTGCTTTTCTTGACTAGTCTTGTGACCACTTGTTCTCCCCCACGTTGCCTATGGGGGATTGTCAGAATGTTCTAGTGCTTACATTTGTGTAGGCTATGGTGGGGCAGCCCATAACGAGTACAACCCAATTAGGGTTAGTACTTGTACCCAACTTCTGCTCAATGCATTCATTCTCGTTCATTCTTTTGACACGAACTCCATGTGCCGGCGGACTTCGCGAGGCCCTTGTGTGCCTGTTGCGGCCCTGTTTTTCTCCATGCCATGCATTGAGTGAGCGGCGCCATCACTGGCTACGCCTGAGCGTTGTCCCACGCTGTCGTTCTGTGTCGTTGTGCCTGATGAGATGACGATCGGCTCCTCCGATTGTGCAGGTGCATTTGCAGGTGCATGTGTTGGTGCTGGTGCATTCAGCGTCGATTGCTGGCGAGCGGAGTCGCGTTCCGCCGTGAGTGTCGCAATTTCGAGCGCCGAGTCTTCAAGTTGGTGCACGAGACGGTCGAGCTGCTCCTGCGTCAATGTCGCAAGATTAATTTCGGCCATGGCGGGGGTGTCGGGCAAACTCAGCGAGAGCCTCTATCGTGGCCGTGCGTGCTTATGAGAGAGCACTTCGAGCGGCGGTGCTTGTTCCCCCCAAAAAATTGAGATAGTGAGGAAGCGAATGTGTGGATGCGGTCCGAGAGGAGATTGTAGGCTCTGAATACCAAGTGTTACGAGTGCAATTGAGCGAGCGAGCGAGAATTGCACTATCGAAGCAAAACAATACAATGAGAGAAGGTTGGGAATTGGGTAACTAGAGTGGTAACGGTAACGCGAGGAATTGGGGTGCGCTACGGGCCTAGCGCCGAGGTTGGGATTTGTCGAGGCGGAGGTCCGGAGCGTGGGTTACCAACTGAACCGTGAGGTTGGGTCGCGTCGTGAACAGTGGCGGGAGTCGTGGTCGAGGTGAGTGTCGCGAGCGGGTACCGTAAGCCCCCGGATATAAGCGCAGGCCTCGGATAAGCGCCGTCGCTTAGAAAAGGATGACGGCGCTTATATCCGGTCCTCGATTATAAGCGCACCCCTTAAAAACCAGTGTTTTTTATACTCCCAGGGGCGCTACTATCCGGGGTCTTACGGTAACGTTTCACTGTTTGGGGGCCGATGGTGGGAATGGTCTTGTTCGCGGTAAGCAGGGGGGCGAAGCAAGGAAAAGGAATTTTCCTTACAGATATGAATAACGTACTTTACTAGCAATTTCTGCTGTTATAGGCGATTTCTGTTGCTTAGAAGACATAAAATCCCTCTGCGTATGTTTAAATTTAAATTGAACAATCTTGGAGTTATGTCATCATAATATGACTGGTTCTTTTATATCATAGAGTTAATTTCTATACCTCTTTTTATTTTGAAATCTTGTACCCAGATTTTCCTTTATATTTTGATTAGAACTGTGGTAATTTATCATACCGGTATTTTGGTCATATCCATTTAGGAAACATTGTTGCTTGTGTTGTTAGATCACAACAAACAACACCTCAATCATGAGCCGATTATAGATGTTGCTGCAATAGCGACTCATTTATCGTAACGGAATGTGCCAATATCGACAATCGCCGACCATATTGCTCCTGCTTCTGCCTTCCACCCGCATTTGCCAAGTGCTATTTAGCCTTAGGGCGGGTCCAGCGCGTACGTTTACAGTTCATCCTGTGCGGTTGACCTTGTTGCGTCACGGTTAAAAATGGTGGAAACTGCAAATCGCTTTGAACCATTTGATATCGTGTTGCGCCATGAGTCATGAACTGTAGACGAACCGTAAACGTACGCGCTGGACACGCCCTTACCTAGCTTCATCAGCAGCAGCAGCTGTCAGACCAAGGACTGCCTGTCAGCTACCTCAGTCTGCGAGCTGTTTCCGACAGCTTTCAGCGAATGGCAAGCCTCCCAGAGCTTCGCCATCCACTACTTCACTCAGAAAGAAAGGAACGCATACATAAATGCTGCACATTCTTCCTGCTTTTTATCGCATTTTCCGCAGGCTGCGTAGGTGGATTTATCAACTTCTATCATTCAGCAAGAGATGAATCACCTAAGCGCAGCATACCTAACAGACGGACAGCGTTCCATTTTCAACCGGAAGGGAACTGGATGAATGGTCAGTAAATATCAGTGGGTAAATCAGTGACTAAGTAGTAAACATCTCATTGTGTCCTTGATGACTGAACCCCCGTTTTCCCTTTGCAGATCCGAATGGTGAGCGCTGCTTTATTGGGACCTATGGCGGCGTGTCAGTTTCTTACTATTATGTCTTCATTCAGGGCCAATGTACTACAAGGGACACTATCATTTGTTCTACCAGTACAATCCTTTTGGAGCAGTTTGGGGTAACATAAGCTGGGGTCATGCAGTTTCAAGCAACTTGATCCAGGTATGAAGCAGGTTCAACATGTTTTATACCTGTTAGGTCGTCCTTGACTGACATGCTCCCGCTGGCAGTGGACCCACTTGCCAGTGGCCATCAGTCCTGACAAGTGGTATGACGTAATGGGTGCATGGTCGGGTTCCGCTGTGGTTCTTAGTGACGGAACTCCTGCTATCCTGTACACCGGAAGCAGCAAAGATAATGTGCAGCTACAAAACCTGGCTTTTCCAGAAAACGCATCTGATCCTTACCTCACAACATGGGTGAAAAGCCCTTACAATCCCATAGCCGTTACACCTCCTGGAGTTAGCAAATTCGATTTCAGAGACCCATCCGCATGGAAGGGAAGTGACGGAGTGTGGCGAATGATTGTTGGGTCAAGGCAAAATGGGACCGATTGCGTGTTCATGTACAAGAGCAAGGACTTCACTAACTGGTCGAAGATTCCTCAAACGGTTAGGACGGCGCCAGGACGAGCTGGAATGTGGGAGGTAAGTGTTTTTGGTCCCAGTATGATGTGCGAGTTTCTTGTTTATCTATTAATTTAACGAGCTCCTTCTCATGCAGTGTCCTGATTTATATCCTGTTTCTACGAATGGCAATGCTGGACTGGATACGTGCTCTGAAGATGACGTTTGCCGTCACGTTCTAAAGGCATCCTTTGATGACGATTTTCTTGATTACTATGCCATTGGAACCTACAGCCAAGCAAATGAAACTTGGGTTCCAGTGGATCCGCAAATCGATGTCCAAAATGGGCTGCGATACGACTACGGGAAGTTCTATGCATCAAAGACCTTTTATGACCCGTCCACGCACCGCCGTATCTTATGGGGATGGGTGAATGAGTCCGATTCACAAAATGACGACATATCTAAAGGTTGGGCTTCAGTCCAAGCTATTCCACGTGTTGTCAGTTTGGACTGGTCAACAGGAAAGCACTTGTTGATGGAGCCTGTAGCGGAGTTAAAGCTTTTGCGAGGAAGACACTTACATGATGCTGGCCTCACACTGAAGGAGGGGATGAACAAGCTTGTCAACGGCCTTACAAGCATGCAGGTAATGGAACGCTTTGAAGGCTTTCCAGAGTGTTCGTTCGATTATTAACAATTCTTGACTGCAGGTGGATATGGAGCTAGTATTTGCCATTCCCAACATCACGACGGAGTACCGCCCTCTTGACAGTGACTGTGGTTGGGATGAAAATTCTGTTTCAAAAGTTGCTGGCCGATTTGGGGTCCATGTTCTTGCCTCAGCAAATTTGGTAGAAAGAACATCTATTTATTTCGAGCTCGCCAGTGGTGGACCTTTGGGTCGATGGCAAGTTCGATTCTGCAGTGACCAAAGAATGTAAGAAAGATGATTTTTTAACCTGCCTTGTTTAGCCTGACTCGTTATGCGTACAGGTCTTCATTGTCAGAAACGGCGGAGAAGAGTATATATGGGAGTCAGCTTCTGCTGCAGGAATCTGAGGATAGGCTCGTGCTTAGAGTTTTGGTAAGTAAGCGAGCGGAGATACTTTCTTCAACCAGCATCTCCATTTTCTAATATATTATATATTTTTCACTTCAGGTGGACAACTCAATTGTGGAGTCCTTTGCCCAAGGAGGAAAGTCTGTCATAACAGCAAGGGCATACCCAACAACAGGGGAATCAAACAGTAAATATTTATTCAACAGTGGCCCAGCTGTCAAAGTAAATTCGTTTGACGCTTGGGAAATGATGGCTACCAACAATCAAATGGACACATAAAAGAACTGATGGCCACTGTTAAATAGTTATTCCAGACTGGGGGACATGTTTGGCAGTGTGTGAAGTGTTATGCGTTGAATGCACGGGTCTTCTGTGAGTCAGTGTTTCAGCATGCACATGCATACCAGCCAGAGCAGAGAGGCCTCAGGATTGAGAATGTACGTAAGTGTTATCATTACGGGGTTTTAAAAACCGACTTGAATGAGATTGAAGCAGACGAACTCTATGGTATAAGGAATCCATCAGCTACCAACATAATTTGGACAAGCCGAATTTACTGATGTAACTGCTGTGGGATCAGTTGCGCACATAGCCAGCGGACAGTTATCAGGAGATGTTACGCCAGCACCCCACCAGGAGAGGGAAACAGAAGGGGTTTCAACCTGAACCCCAAAAAATATGAAAAGTGCCATGAACATGACGCCAGAATCAAGTGCTGCAGACAGCACATAGTTGTAGCGACGCCACCAATCCTGAAAAGGTATAAAAAGATACACACAATGTATATCGTACTCCTTTCTCTGCGAATTATGGTAAATGAACCAAGCTGTCATGAGAATATACTTGCAAGGTTATTACTAGAAAGTAGACCAATCAGAGGTGTGTTACCGCACCTTTCGGTGAGTGAAGATGAGCTTGTTGAAGATAAAGCCCATGGTGAGCCAGCCCAGGTAGTTGATGGGCGACGCAGGCGGCATCATGCCCACGCCTGTGAGCATCACTGGGATATGCACCTTGGTCAACCACTGCAAGTGACACGGGACGGGAGTGGGACAGCCATCAAATGAAGGAGGTGCTTAGCATGGTATGTAGCCACGGCCTAACACATGTTCTGATTTTCAAAACTTTAGAATCGGCCACAGAGCCACTGTCAATACGTCATGAAGAAATATTCGCAACTGCCACCTGTGTCGTCGGCTCACTCACCTCTGTCCCCAACATCCCACCACCTGCTGAAGCCAAGCCATCATCAAGCTCCAGTTCTAAATAAGATATGTGACAGGGTTCCCCACAGAACCACCAACCGATTTTGCCAACCCACTGGCTGCCTCTGCCAGCTCACCAACTTTTTTGAACAACTCACCATCTGTCTGCGTTGACTCACCCTCCATCTGCATGGAGTCAACATGTGCCTGCACCATCCCACCATCTCTCTGCATCATCTCACTCACCATCTGTATGCATGATCTCACAATGTGTCTCTACCAACTTACCACCTGGTGCGGCCACATCTTGTGCGCGGCCCAGAAGGGGATGGGAGCGAGCGCCCCTCCGAGGAACCACCAGTTGAGGTTGTTGTAGAAGGCCGAGGGGCCAAACATGCGCTCGGGGCCGATGAGCCCCCAGATGATGGACGCTGAATAGAAGACGTTGGCTGTGGGGCACGTCCATGGGGAATTTTCTGGGAAGTTCTCATCGTTGATCTGGTGAAGGGAAAGGGGACGAGAGCATGGGGAGGAGGGAGGAGGAAGGGAGAGAGGAAGCTAAGAAAAAGGTAGGCAGGGGATTGCATGCAGACGGGCAAGGGACCATGGTCATTGAGCCATGGGTGCTAAGCTGTGGCAAGGAACACAACATGCGCTTGGGGCCGATGAGTCCCCAGATGATGGACGCTGAATAGAACACGTTGGCTGTGGGGCACGTCCATGGGGAGTTTTCCGGGAAGTTCTCATCGTTGATCTGGTTAAGGGAAAGGGGGTGGGGAGGGGAGATCGGGGAGAAAGGAGGAGGAGCGGAGAGGGGGAGTGCAGGGAAAGCGTGGGAGGGGATGGCATGCAGACCAGCATTGGTCATTTAGCCATGGGTGCTATGTTGTGGCATGGCAGGGAACATGCATGTGCTCGGAACTGATGAGTTCCCAGACCCAGATGATGGATGCCAAGTAGAAAACTTTTTCCGTGGGGCACTTCTACATGGAATTTTCCAGGAGGTTTTCATCGTTTCACTGGGAGGGCGGGAGGTGGCGTGGAAGGGAGGGCGGGGAACGAGGGGATCGTGTGGGAATGGAGGTTTGAAGGGGGGGGAGGTGGAAGGGAGGATAGTATGCTCAAATAGAAGAGAGATGGAAGTGAGAACATGGGGAGAGGCACTCAATAAAGGTGGGTGGGATGAAGCAGGGGTCAGACAGGGCTGCACTTCGTTCCAACCTTGCAGACAGGGAAAAGGGGCTCATATTCTCCACTCCACAGCGTAGTAGATCTTCTAAGGCACTTCAAGCAAACAGACGAATTGTGAGGCGATTTACACACACACACACGCTTTCGAGGCGCTCGAAAAAAGAGCGGGGCGTTTCAAAAGTTCCTCTTCTTCCTTCCCACCTTGCAGATGAGCCCACCTTGCAGATGAGCCCACCTTGCAGATGAGCCCACCTTGCAGATGAGCACACCTTGCAGATGATGTTAGAATTGTATGTTCTAGCATGCTAACACTTGTGACTGTACACCAATTGTGGTGTACAGTTGGGTTGGGACTACACCCAACTTTGGGTGTAGTCTTGCATTGTGGGGTGCCAATCCAACCCAATTGTGGTGGAGCCCCCAAATGCAACCCACTTGACCTTAGGTTGCCTCACTTCCCAAAGTGAGGCCAACCCAACCTATGGTCAACCCAACTTTTCTCCTTCAACCTTCTCTTCCTTGTATAACCTTGTGCTCACTTGAGCTAATGCCAATCATTCTTCTTCAAGTTTCTACAGCTCCTAGTTTCTTTCATGGTATTCAGAGCCTAAGGCAAACACCACTAGATCCTAGGCCTAAACTTTCTTTTTCCTACCTTCCCTTGTACACTCCAGCAGCTAAGCGAAATCGTCCGACTTAGTCGCGCGGCCTCCCTTAGTACATCGCGACCTTTCTTAGCAACCTAACGGGCTCCCCCTACTCTTCGCGCCACTCTGCTAGCATCCATGCGGGCCCTCCTGCTCGTCGCGTAGCCTCTGCTAGCATCCGTGCGGGCCCTCCTACTCGTCTCGTCACCTCCTCTAAACGGTCGCGCAGGCCGCGCGGACCCCTCTGCCCGTCACGCCACCACTATTAGCAGTCGCGCGGACCCCTTTGATCGTGGCGAAATCACTACCAGCAGTCGCACGGTTCAATTTCACCGTCGCGAAGTCCCTGCCAGCAGTTGCGCGGGTCAATTTCACCGCCGCGACTGCCACGTCGCCGCCTGCACTTCCTGCCGCCGCGACTGCATCATCGCCACCTGCCCTTCCCGCCGCCGCGAGTGCGCCGTCGCCGCCGCGGTTTTCAGCCGCCGCGACTGACCCGTCGCCACCTGCCCGTCCTGCTGTCGCGACTGCTCGTCGCCGCCTGCCCATTCCACCGCCGCAACCACGTTGTCCCCGCCCACGCTTCCTACCGCCGTGACTGCCCCGTCTCCGCCTGCAAATTCCGCCGCCACTACACCCTCCTCATCCCCACCGCTCACTTCCCGCCATAGCAGCCGCAGCAGCAACTGCACCCTCCCTTCCCCCTCTCCCTCCTCCTCTCCCTCTCCCCCTCCTCAGCAGCAGCAGCAGCAGCGGCAGCAGCAGCAACAGCAACTGACATGGAGCAGATGAAGATGTCACTGCAGTAGCGTCTCAAATGCAAAGACCTGGGCGACCTCACGCACTACTTGGCCATGGCTATCACGCGCAACCGCCCTACTCACATCATCTCCCTCTCCCAGTCCCACTACATCAGCCAGGTCTTGGAGAAGTTCGAGATGGCGCAGGCCAAGCCCGTATCCACCTCCCTCCCCTTCGGCCACCAGCTCGCTCCACCCACTTCTCCCTCCTCCTCCCCTCACCCCTATGCTGAACTCGTTGGGTCGCTGATGTACGCAATGATGTGCACCCGCCCTGACCTCGCCTACCCCATCAGTATGCTCACCTGGTTCGTTGGCACCGGTCGTCACACTGAGGAACACTGGAAAGCTGCTAAGCGGGTCCTCCGCTACCTTCGTGGGACCAAGGACCATGTCCTCACCCTTGGCGGCCCCTCCCCTCCTCTCCTCTCGGGCTTCAGTGATTCCTCATGGGCAGACTCGCAGCCGGACCGCCGCTCCTCCCAGGGCTACGGTTTCACCCTTGGCAGCGGCCTTATCAGCTGGCGCTCCACCCACTCCTCCGCCATTTCTCTCTCCACCTGCGAGGTTGGCACCATGGCCGCCCAAGAGTCGCGCTGGCTCTGCTTTCTTCTTGCATAACTTGGTGTCCCACAGCCCTACCCCACTCTCTGGTGTGACAACGCTAGCACCATCCACCTCACTCAAGATCCCGTCTATCACGCCCGCTCCAAGCAAATCGAGCTCCGCTACTTCTTCATCCGTGAGCTCGTACAGAAGGGCCTCATTGCTGTTCGGAAGATTGCAGCAGAGGCCAACTTAGCCGACATCTTCACCAAGGCCCTCCTTCGCCCTGCGCACTCTGCTCTCCTCCGTCTCATTGGCCTTGCTCGCCTGGGCGCCCCTTGATTCAGGGGTTGTTCTCTTCCTGTGTTAGCTTGCTAGGGGGTTGTGTTAGAATTCTATGTTCTAGCATGCTAACACTTCTGACTGTACACCAATTGTGGTGTACAGTTGGGTTGGGACTACACCCAACTTTGGGTGTAGTCTTGCATTGTGGGGTGCCAATCCAACCCAATTGTGGTGGAGCCACCAAATGCAACCCACTTGACCTTAGGTTGCCTCACTTCCCAAAGTGAGGCCAACCCAACCTATGGTCAACCCAACCTTTCTCCTTCAACCTTCTCTTCTTTGTAAAACCTTGTGCTCTCTTGAGCTAATGTCAATCATTCTTCCTCAAGTTTCTACAGCTCCTAGTTTCTTTCAGATGAGCCCACCTTGCAGATGAGCCCATTCTCCACAGTGTCATAGAGCCACCAGGACGTGCCGAGATTGACCAGGCCCGCTAATAGAGTGGCGAATACCTGCACCACAAACATAGCTCTTGGGGGGATCTGCACGTGTGCATGCATGCATGCACACACATGCACATGCACATGCAAAGCGTAGGCACGTGCACATGTAGAGAGTGGGCAGAGTGGGAGAGATTAGATAAGTCAGAAAGTTGCAACTCCATTCAGCCATTCCCACAATAAGAGAGTGACGAACACCTGCACTGTAAACATGGCTTGTGGTGAGATGTGCACGCATGTATGGACACGGACATGCACATGCACATGCAGAAAGTGGGCAGAGTGGGAAAGAATTGGTTTGAAAGATACCAGCAGCTATGCACAGACAAAAAACTTTCCAAAGGGCAGATGCAGTGTGTGAAAACGAAGCAAGTGTGTGGCGAAGTCGGAAAATCTACAAACATTCAACAAATGCAATAATCAAGAATTTGCTCACATTCATGTAATGTCCGAGCTTGAAGTCTTGCAAGAAGGCAATTGCCTGCGTCATGCTGATGTACCCATACGTCTTGAAACACACGTTCCCTATGGGCTCCCTCCCCTCCCCTCCTCAAGGGTTTTGAGTCGACTCGGAATCAGCTCACCTTCATGTAATGCCCGAGCTTGAAGTCTTGCAGAAACGCAATGGCTTGAGTCATGCTGATGTACCCATATGTCTTGAAACACACGTTGCCAATCGGCTCCCCAGGGCGAATATACCCCCAGATCATCTCCGTTATTATATTGAGCCCCGGCTGCTGATTGGTGGTGGCGGTGACTATGCCGATGGGCAGTGTGAAGAAGAGGGAGAGGGCAGCAGAGAGCAGCAGGCCCCACCAGGGCAGCTGGAAGTAGGTGTTGAGTTCGAGGAAAGCGATGCAGACAGCGATGTTGACGAGGAGGAGGATGAGGAACCACCACCAGGGCACCTTGGGGTAGCGCTGCATGAGCCGCGTGTGCACGTCTGGCTTCACCTCCGTGGCTGAGAGAAGGGGGGTTGGGGGGGGGTGGGGAGAGGGAGGGGTTGGTCAAGGGCGGGGGGGTGGGTGGGGAGAGAGTTGACAGAAATATCATAAACCATATCTGTGCTGTGATCATAAACCATATCTGTGCTGTGATCACAAACCATATCTGTGCTGTGATCATAAACCATATCTGTGCTGTGATCATCACCACATACCAGATAGCTGCAGGTTTGTCTCAATATCTCGTAAAACTAATTGATAAACGACATCTGTGACTCCCGCATACCAGTTTCGCACTGCCACAACACCATCTCTCATTCACCTCCACTCATGTTCCTCACATTAGATCTTCCATACCGCCCATCCATACCCTTTTTACCCATACCCATCCATAGCACACCACCACACCACCACACCCATCCATACCATCACACCCATCCATACCATCACACCCATCCATACCATCACACCCATCCATACCACCACACCCATCCATACCTGTTAGAATATCTCTCCTCTTGTAACCTGCATATATGCTATAGGATAGGCTAGAGATAAGCACCCAAACTTAGTTTGGGTGTACAAACAGGGGTAACCCAGTTTGTAGGTTGGAACCCAACCTTGGTCCAATTATTGGACACCAAAAGGTTGGGTTGGGTAGAATTATTGGCTCCCTCCAATAATGTTGGCCAACCCCACCTTGGCCAACATTATTGGACCCCACCAATAATCACCCAACTCAACTTCTTGGTTGGGGTCCAATAATGCCAACCAAGGCTAGTATCCAACCTCCAACTATGTATACCCCCATCATTCTCAATCAAGACACAACTTCTATTCTAACTCTCATTTCCCACATGGTATAGAGCACACTATCCTAGGCCTACTATCGTTCCAAAGGCCCACCCGGCCACCGCAACCCCCGGCCTCCTCCCTTTCATTTTTTTTTTCCCCGGCTCCTCTGCCACCTTCCCCCTCCCCCCTTAGCGCTCCCCTTCTTTCGCAGCCTTGCTGCTGCCTTTGCGCCCGCCGTCGCCCGCGCCTTCCCCCTGCGACCTCGTCGTCGCCTCCGCGCTCGCGTCGCCCCGGCCTCGTCAGCCGCCGCCGCCCGCGCTGCTCCCCTCCGCGGCCTCGTCGCCGCCTCCGCGCCTGCGTCCGCCGCGGCCTCGCCAGCCGCCGCCACCCCGCTCCCCTCCGCCGCCTCGACGCCGCCTCCGCGCCCGCGACGCCGCGGCCTCGTCAGCCGCCGCCGCCCGCGCCGCTCCCCTCCGCGGCCTCGACGCCGCCTCCGCGCCCGCGACGCCGCGGCCTCGCCAGCCGCCGCCGCCCGCGCAGCTCCCCTCCGCGGCCTCGACGCCGCCTTCGCGCCCGCGACGCCGCGGCCTCGCCAGCAGCCGCCGCCCGCGCAACTCCCCTCCGCGGCCTCGCCGCCGCCTCCACGCCCGCGACGCCGCGGCCGCGCCAGCCGCCGCCACTCGCGCCGCTACACGGCCTCGACGCCGCCTCCGCGCCCACATCACCGCGGCCTCGCCAGCCGCCGCCGCCCGCGCCGCTCCCCTCCGCGGCCTCGACACCGCCTCCGCGCCCACGACGTCGCGGCCTCGTCAGCCGCCGCCGCCCGCGCAGCTCCCCCTCGCGGCCTCGCCGCCGCCTCCGCGCTCGCGTCGCCGCGGCCTCGCCAACCGCCGCCGCCCGCGCTGCCCCCCTCCGCGGCCTCGTCGCCCCCGCGCCCGCGTCGCCGCGGCCTCACCAACCGCTGCCGCCTGCGCTGCTCCCCTTCACGGCCTCGACGCCGCCTCCGCAACCGCGTCGCCGCGGCCCCACCAGCCGCCGCCCGCGCAGCTCCCCTCCGCCGCCTCAGCACCACCTCTGCGCCTGCGTCCGCCACGGCCTCGCCAGCCGCCGCCACCTCCCGCCGCTTCGCAGCCTCGTAGCCACCTCCGCGCCAACCTCCGCTGCCTGCGCCATTCCTCCACCTCCCCACCGCTTCCGCACCCGCGCCATAGCAGCCCCACCAGCTGCCGCCACCTGCGCGCTTTCGTGACCACTGCGGGTCCACCTGCAGCCGTCCCTCATGGCTAACCCCATGCCCTCCCCCTCCCCCCTCCCTCCTCCTATCGATACTTCCTCCATTGACAAATTACAGCTTGCAGCCGACAAATCTGCCATTAACTGGTACTCGTTCGTCGGCAGCATCCGACGAGTCCTCACCAATGCATGGATCCCCCCCTACCGCGTCCTTGACGTCGTCCTCCGCCGCCCCCATGCCCTCCCCCCCACCGAACCTGACCACCCCGGCAAGACCCCTCCTCTCCCTCCCCCTCCTGGCGACCCTCCCCTTGAGCCCGAGCTCCAGACCGCCGCCGACCAAGCCACCGCAGATGCAGACTTCATTATGCGTCGCCGTGCCTACCTCATCCGCAAAGCCGAGTACGATGCAGCAGCTGATGCCTACGCCCAGGCCGTTGCTGGCCGCAATTTTTTACCTCGCCGTCGTCGCCAAATACAACGACGATATGACTACCTTCACTCCTAAGTTCATCGCCTGGTCAGCCGCTGACAACTGCGCATGCACTGTCATCCTCGGTGCTCTCCCCGACTCCCTCATGCGCCGCTTCCAGGCCCGGGAACTCCGTGCCTCAGTGATATGGGCAGAACTCCATGCTATGTTCGAACGCCGCGACATCAGCTCCGTGGGAATCCTCTTCCAGGAGTATTTTTCTATTACCCTCGCCACCTGTGACGGGGCAGTAGACTATGTCGGCCGCATGCGAGAGGTAGCTGATCGCCTCGAAGCCCGCCAAGCCGGTCTCTCCGAACCCCTCCAAATCCATCGCCTCCTCTTCAATCTCACCCCAGACTATGAATCCCGCCTTCACGCCTTTACCGAGGCCATGGCCAATATCACTTATGTTGAACAGTGGATCATTGATACCGAAGTCAAACTTCGCACCCCCATGGTCAACCTCGCCTCCTCCCACCCTCCCTCCTCCTCTCTCAACACTACCCAGCCCCGCAAGCAGGGCAAACGCAACGGCAAAGGGGGAAGTGGGGGCAAGGGAGGCAGCGGTCAAGGAACCAGCAGCGCCAGCAACCATGGTGCCTCTACTGGGGATGAGCACGGCACCCCCAGTCAGGGCGGTCCCTCTGGAAACCGGGGACCCCGCCCTGGCACTCTCCCTCCCTGCACCTATGTCCGTCGCTACGGTCCCCGGGCAGGGACACCCTGCGGTCAAACCAACCATCCCCCTACCACTTGCTTCAAGGCTCTCGATGATGCCTGGTACGCACGGGGCAATGTTGGCACACCTCCCCGCTGGGGTACCGTCTCCCCGCGTCCCTCCCCTGCTGACATCCAAACCCACCCTGCTTATCTCCCCACCCACCTCCGCCTCCTTGCTCCCCCCACGCCGCTCCTCAATATTCAGCAGCAGCATCTTCTGCAGCAACCGCAACAGCAGCAGCAGCAGCTGTTCCAGCAGCAACCACAGCAGCAGCAGCTGTTCCAGCAGCAACCACCGCAGCAGCAACAGCAGCAGCAGCAGCAGCCCCCATGGGGACCCGGGCTCCCACCCCAGTGGGGACCCAGCACTCCCCCCTGGCAGCAGCAGCAGCTGAACCTCAGCGCGGCAGCCACAGCTGCTCAGACCCCCCCTGCTCCCCTGTGGGGTGCCCCACCTCCTCCTGGTAGTATTGTCACTCCCCTCACCCAGGAAAGTTTTCTTGGCAACATTGCTCTTTCCCCCTCTCTTCCTTCCATGTACCCCTCCACCATTAATGAAACCACTTTCCAGTACTCGGTGTCTTCCTCCTCCTCCCCACCCACTCTGGACTTCGTCCTTGATAGTGGGGCCACTGAGACTGCTCTCAAGGATGCTGGTACACTCACACCCCTCTCTCCTCCCACTCAAGTTCACGGTGCTGACAGCAGTTTCACCATCCCATGCACACATCTCTCCACTCTCCCCTGCACAATCTTCCCCTCTGGTAAGGTAACTGGTCTCCACATCCCCACTCTCCGAAACAACCTCCTCTCCCATCGGGAAATCCAGAATGCAGGTATCACTGCCGTCTATCCAGGTAATGCCACCTACTGTGACCTCTATCACACCGCCACCGGTCGCTTCCTTCTACGCATTCCCCCTCTGCCCCCGCACTCGCCTCTACACTCTCCGCACCCCTTGGCCATCCTTCTGCCATGTCACCACTCGTACTGGCACCTCCACTCACCCTTCCCATCCCCCTACTTCACCTCCACCCCAGCAGCAGCAACAGCAGCAACAGCAGCCGCCGCAGGGGCAGCATCCGCAGCAGCAGCAGCGACAGCAGCAGCAGCCGCCGCAGCAGGAGCAGGGGCCGCAGCAGCAGCAGCCGCCGTCGCAGGGGCAACAGCAGGGGCCGCAGCAGCAGCAGCAGCAGCACCAGCAGCCGCCGCAGCAAGGGCAGCCGCCGCAGCAGCAACAGCAGCAGCCACCTCCCCCTCTCCCACCCTCACTCACTCCAACCCCCTCCACCTCCGACCATCTCTCCCACCCCGCTGTACTGCTGCATCACCGACTCGGCCACCCCAATTTCGCCGCTCTCCGCACTGCCATCACCTCTCGCCTCCTTCACAGCCTCCCTCCCACTCTCCCTCCCCTCCCTTCCTCTCCAGCCCCTCCATGCCCCTCCTGCATCCACGGCAAACTCAAACAGTCTCCCCACCACAGCCACCCATCCTTTGCTCCCGCTCCCATTGACCTAGTCCATATGGACCTCTGGGGACCCTCTCCCACTCGCTCCCGTTAGGGCCATCGCTACATGCTGATCCTCGTAGACGACCACAGCCGCTACTCCTCCATTTTCCTCCTCCACACGAAAGACCAGGCACCGACTGTGATCACCCACTGGGCAGAGCAATGCCGCGCCCACTTCAACCGTCCCATCGGCCGCCTTCACTCTGACGGCGGCGGAGAATTCCTCAACCGCACCCTCTCCCACTACTGCGCCACCCATGGCATCCAACAGACCCACACCCTTCCCCACTCCCCGCAGCAGAATGGTGTCGCAGAAAGCCGCATTCGCGAAATCACCAAAATCGCTCGTTGCCTCCTCGCTCACGCCTCCACCCCTCCTTCCCTCTGGGGCTATGCTCTGCTCCATGCTGCCCTCCTCCTCAACCTTCACTCTCATCCTCAACACACTGCCATCACCCCCACGGAACTCTGGTCAGGCACGAAACCTGACGCTGCCGGTCTCTGTGTCTGGGGCTGCAAGGCATACGTTCTTATCCCTCCTTCTGACCGCACCCACGGCAAGCTCGCTTCTCGCGCCCTCGAGTGTGTCTATCTCGGACACAACCGCGACTCGCCTGGCTATCTCTTCCTCCACCCTCCCTCCGGTCACCTCATCCGCAGCATTGACGTCGTCTTTGACGAAACCACCCCGTACTACTCCTCTCCACCACCAGACCCCCTCCCTTCTCCTACCCGTCCTCTCGCCTGGACCGACACTGTCCTCCCTCCCCTCCTCCCTCCTGCGCCTCTACTACCACCTCTCCCTGCTCCACCTCCACCGCCCTCCTCTGCTGACATCTACGATCCTACTGCACCTGCATCCCCTGCCCACTCCGCCGCCCCCCCTCTCCCCTTCCCCTCCTCCCCTCCCTCTCCTTCATCCCAACAGCAGCAGCAGCCGCAGCAGCAGCAGCAGCAGCCGCCGCAGCAGCAGGGGCAGCAGCAGCTGCGGCAGCAGCCGGGGCAGCACCAGGGGCAGCAGCTGGGGGGCAGCAGCAGGGCAGCAGCAGCAGGAGGAGCAGCAGCCGCAGCAGCAGGAGGAGCAGCAGCCGCAGCAGCAGCAGGGGCTTCAGCAGCACCAACAGCTAGCAGCGGCGGAGGGCGACTGCCCGCGTCCTCACCCTTCCTCCTCCCTCGCATGCACACACCGCTCCCTTGATCCCATCCTTGGCACACCGCCTATCTCCCCTCACCTCCCTCAACCTACTAAGACTTCCATGAGGAACTTACTATGGTCCAGCGCCACACTCCCTCTCTCACCCCCCTCTACCCTGGCTTCCTCGGCGCTCTTATCCTTGCCGCAGTCTCCGCTCCCACCATCTTCGTCCCCTCCACCTAGGCTTGAGCAAAGGTGGCGAACACCTGTTCGGTTCGCCTCGAACGTGTTCGAGGCGAACCGAACAGTTTTGTTTTTCAGCTTAAATCGTTCGCCCCGAACGTGTTCGATGTTCGCCCGAACACGTTCGTGTTCGTGGCGCTGCTGCAGAACGCCCCGTGTCGAACACGAACGTGTTCGAGGTTCGCGCCGAAACACGCCTCCACAGGCGAACAGCGAACACCTGTTTTTGGCTAAACTGTTCGCCCGAACCGAACAGTGTTCGGTTCGGCAAAAGGGTGTGTTCGAGAAGGGGCGAACACGAACATGTTCGTGTTCGCCCTTTGCTCATCCCTACCTCCACCTTCCAGGAAGCTACCACCTGCCCAGATGCCGACAAATGGATAGCCGCCATCTTCCTGGAATGTGAGGCCTTCATCCGCAATGACTCTTTCATCGATGTGCCCCTCCCTCCTGACGCCAACCTTGTCGAGGGCAAGTGGATCTTCCGAGTAAAACAGCTGCCGGGAGAAGAACCAGTCTACAAGGCCCGCTATGTCGCCAAAGGCTTTACACAGACTTGGGCTGAGGACTACTGGTTCACATTCGCCCCTACCGTTAAGCCACCTACCCTTCGCGCCCTTCTCGACGTTGGTGCGCGCGACAACATGGAGATTGACTCCATGGACGTCTCCAACGCATTCTTGCAAGGCGAGCTGCACGAGCGTATTTTCCTACGCCGACCTCCCGGGTTTCACGCTGCTTTCCCCGGCAATACCGTCTGGCAACTACGTCGACCAGTCTATGGTCTGAAGCAGGCACCACGAGAATGCATGCCAAGCTGTCTACCACTCTCCAGTCCCTCGGTTTCTCTGCCTCCCACTCCGATGCCAGCCTCTTCATCCGCTCTTCCCTCGCTTCTTCATCTCGGTCTATGTTGACGACATGATCCTGCTTGCTGATTCCAGGACCGACATGGACCAGGTGAAGCAGTCCCTTCAGGACCGTCTCAAGTGCAAGGACCTTGGTCCGCTGCAGAACTACCTCGGCATGACCATCACCCGCGACCGATCCGCCCGCACCATCACCCTCTCCCAGTCCCATTACATCGGCCAGGTGCTGGAGAAGTTCGAGATGGCGCAGGCCAAACCGGTCTCCACCCCCCTCCCCTTCGGTCACCAGCTGGCGCCACCCACCTCCCCCTCCGCCTCCTCCCGTCCCTATGCCGAACTCGTCGGGTCGCTGATGTACGCGATGATGTGCACTCGCCCCGACCTTGCCTACCCCATCAGCGTCCTCGCTCGGTTCGTCGGCTCCGGCCGCCACACTGAGGAACACTGGACTGCCGCTAAGCGAGTTCTCCGCTACCTCCGGGGCACCAAGGATCACGCCCTTACATTGGGTGGTTCCTCCCCTCCCCTTCTCTCTGGCTTCAGTGATTCCTCCTGGGCGGACTCCCAGCCAGACCGCCGCTCCTCACAAGGCTATGGTTTCACGCTTGGCAGCGGACTTATCAGCTGGCGTTCTACTCGCTCCTCTGCCGTTGCCCTCTCCTCCTGCGAAGCCGAACTCTATGCTGGCACTATGGCTGCCCAAGAGTCCCGTTGGCTCTGCTTTCTTCTCGCCGAGCTTGGTGCCCCGCAGCGCTGTCCCACACTCTGGTGTGACAATGCCAGCACCATCCATCTCACCCAGGACCCAGTCTTTCACGGCCGCTCCAAGCACATCGAGCTCCGCTACTTCTTCATCCGTGACCTCGTCCAGCAAGGCCTCATTGCCGTCCGCAAGATCGCTGCCGCGGCCAACTTGGCTGATATATTTACCAAAGCCCTTCTCCGCCCTGCGCACTCTGCTCTTCTCCGTCTCATCGGCCTCGCCCCTCCCGGCGTGCCTTAATTCAGGGGTTGCTACTCTCTAGCCTGTCCACATATCTGCAGGTTAAGGGGTTGTGTTAGAATATCTCTTCTCTTGTAACCTGCATATATGCTATAGGATAGGCTAGAGATAAGCACCCAAACTTAGTTTGGGTGTACAAAACAGGGGTAACCCAACCTTGGTCCAATTATTGGATACCAAAAGGTTGGGTTGGGTAGAATTATTGGCTCCCTCCAATAATGTTGGCCAACCCCACCTTGGCCAACATTATTGGACCCCACCAATAATCACCCAACTCAACTTCTTGGTTGGGGTCCAATAATGCCAACCAAGGCTAGTATCCAACCTCCAACTATGTATACCCCCATCATTCTCAATCAAGACACAACTTCTATTCTAACTCTCATTTCCCACAATACCATCACACCCATCCATACCACCACACCCATCCATACCATCACACCCATCCATACCATCACACCCATCCATACCACCACACCCATCATACCATCACACCCATCCATACCACCACACCCATCCATACCATCACACCCATCCATACCATCACACCCATCCATACCACCACACCCATCCATACCATACCATCACACCCATCCATACCACCACACCCATCCATACCACCACACCCCATCCATACCATCACACCCATCCATACCACCACACCCATCCATACCATCACACCCATCCATACCACCACACCCATCCATACCATCACACCCATGCATACCACCACACCCATCCATACCATCACACCCATCCATACCACCACACCCATCCATACCACCACACCCATCCATACCATCACACCCATCCATACCATCACACCCATCCATACCACCACACCCATCCATACCATACCATCACACCCATCCATACCACCACACCCATCCATACCATCACACCCATCCATACCATCACACCCATCCATACCACCACACCCATCCATACCATCACACCCATCCATACCACCACACCCATCCATACCATCACACCCATCCATACCACCACACCCATCCATACCATCACACCCATCCATACCACCACACCCATCCATACCATCACACCCATCCATACCACCACACCCATCCATACCATCACACCCATCCATACCATCACACTGACAGAGTTGCAGACATCCACCCAGCCAGCCACAAGCATTCATCATCCACTGGTAAAAATCCCATAGCATATGCACATACCACACCACACCACCGCACCGCACCACACCCATCCGCCCGCACCCACCGGCACTCATCGTCCGCTGGTAGATCTCCGGCCCATACCACAGCAGTGCTACACTTACACAGGACATGACACTAACTGATCTACGACCACCCACCCAGCCCTTCACCCACCAGCACTCATCGTGCGCTGGTAAATGTCCAGCCCATACGACAGCGCCACACCCGTCCATGACGTACGAACAAGTCTACCTCTACCCACCCATGTCCCAGCCCTTCACCCACCCGCACTCATCGTGCGCCGGTAGATCTCCGGGTCATACGACAGCAGAGCAGAGCGACACCTGTCCATGACATGACAATCAGTGATGACTGATCGACCACCACCCACCCACTCAGACACACACCCACCGGCACTCATTTTGCGCTGGTAGATCTCCCGGCCATACCACACCACCATGTTCGTCCATGACTAGTGTTGAGACTGTTAAGAGACATTTTGAACCCTACGCGAATTAGCTAGCTTTTTACTACAACTGTCTCTCCTTTGCGAAAACTTTCTTCCACGCTGCTGCTCGCTGGAATATGTCTCACGGTCTGTTAGCACCATGTCCGTCCATGACAATTGTTGAGACTGTTAAGTCCCCTACTACCCACCACCCAGCCCTTCACCTACCGGCACTCATCGTCCGTTGGTAGATCTCCGGGCCATACCACAGTGCCACATGCACCACCGTCGCAGTCAGCGCGGCAAACCCCAGCCCGTAGCACAACGCAAAGAACACCGAGATGAACGGCGAAAGATTCTGCTCCGAGTACATCGTCTCATTCAACCGGAAATCCGGCGTGATTATCGCCTGCACCGGGTATCGATCCCCCGACCACTGGTAGGTTCCAGAGGAGAGGAACGGGAAGCGGGTGGCGGCGAAAACGTTGCCCCAGTAGCAGATGGGCACGAGGACGTAGACGAAAAGGGCGAAGCCGATTCCGACGTTGAGGATGGCGAACCAGGGCGCGGCGAGGGGCGAGGCGAGGAAGGCCGACATGGTGGCCCAGTCGAGGGTTATGGCGCCCAGACCCATGCCCCTCAGACCTGGTGGGGAGGGGGGGGTTGGGAGAGTGGGAGGAGGGAGGGGTTGGGGGCGGCGAGGGCCGAGGGGTGGCGAGAGGAAGGCCAACACGACATGGTTGCCCAGACAAGGGTGATAGCACCAAGGCCCATGCCCCTTCTGACTCATTGTCGAAGGACTGCAGTACGTGATGGTGATGCTCCCTGACTCATTGTCGAAGGGCTGCAGTACGTGATGGTGACGCTTTAGCAAAAGGATCAACAGCAAAAAAAGCAAAAACTTGTGAAATCCGTAGATCTGAAAAACCCCTTGTCTCCGAAGGCCGAGGGGTGACGAGAGGAAGGCCGACACGACATGGTTGTCCAGACAAGGGTGATAGCACCAAGGCCCATGCCCCTCAGCTCAGACCTCGCAAGACAGGGGGAATAGGGGGTGTGGGAGGGGAAGACTTGAGGGGAGTGTGAGAGCACGAAAGAGGAAGGCGGGTATCTACAGAAAAGGGGAACAGGGAGGGGAGAAACCAGCAGCAAAGGAGGGAGAAACACGGGGTGTGTGGTGGGAAACAGCGAGGGATAGAAACTGGCAGTAAGGGGGGGGGAGGGAAACGGAGGGTGGGTTATGGAAAGCATATGGCAGGGAATGTGGAAACGAAGGGCGGTGAGGGTATGCGACGGGCAAAATGATGGTGTTGAGAGGGGGGGAAGGAGGAGGGGGAAACACCAGGGTGTAGGGAGGGGAAGGCAAGGGCGAGAGGGAGGAAGAAAAAGGCAAGGTACGAGCCAGTAAGCAGGCAAGGCAGGAACCAGAGGTAGGAGGGGAAGAAACTAGAGGTAGGAGGGGAAGAAACCAGAAGCATGGAGGGAAGAAAAGAGGGGTATGGAATGGGAAGCAAGCTAGGGGTTAGGGATGAGGGGATGCAGGGGCGTGGAGGGGCAAACAGGCACTGGGAGGGGTTGGAAACGGAGAATGGGGTTGAAGAAAGCATGCATCTGGGAGGCGGGTGCAGAGGAGGAGGGGGGCTGCATGAGGGAAGAGGGAGGGGGAAGACAAAGCACGTAGCTGAGCCAAGCTGCTGCGAGATGACACAAAGTGACTTTTGAGCCGACTCAAGAGTCACCAAGCTGCTGCGAGATGACAGAGGAGGGCCAGAGGGAAGGAGAAGCGAGAAGAAGGAGTCGGTGAGGAAGGAAGAAAAGAGGGAGGGGGGGATGGAGCCTGATTGAGGTAGGAGGCAGGAGAGGGAAACGAAGGCATCACCTGAGGCCGAGCTGCTGTGCGGTGATGGAGGAGTGCCGGACCCAGCAGACCAGAAGAGGAGAGGAAGGGGGCGAGGGGGGGAGGAAGGGGAAAGAGAAGGCTACCTGAGCCGTGCTGTTGTGCGTGATGGAGGAGGGCCAGACCCAGTTGGTGGGGAGGGGGCAGGGAGGGGGGAGCGGGGAAGAAGGGGGGGAGGAATGGGGGACTTGGGGAGGAAGAGAGACTGACTAAGCACCCACCTGAACCGAGTTGCTGCGCGGTGATGGAGGAGGGCCAGACCCAGCAGGCCCAGGAGAGAGGAAGACGGGGGAGATGGGAGGAAAAGGAAGGTGGGAGGAGGGAGGGAGTGGGCGGTAGAGTAGGAAGGAGGAGGAAGGGGAAAGAGAAGGCTGAACACCCACCTGAGCCGAGTTGCTGCGCAGTGATGGAGGAGGGCCAGACCCAGCAGACCCAGGAGAGGGGAGGAAGGGTGGAGTGTGCAGGAAAGGAGAGGACAGGGAGAAAAGAACCCACCAGAGCCGAGCTGCTGCAACAATGATGGAGGAGGGCCAGACCAGCAGACCCAGGAGACCCAGTTGGTGGAAGAGAAGGGGGAGAGGGGGGGAGTGGGGAGGGGTGGCGTGGCGCGGAAAACGAAGACAAAGCAATGCACCCACCAGAGCCGAGTTGCTGGGCGGTGATGGAGGAGGGCCAGACCCAGCAGACCAGGAGAGGCAGGAGACGATGGGGATGAGGTAGCCGGGCACGAAGGTACCAGCAGAAGGAGAGCGCCGTTATGAGGAAGAAGAAATGGGCTCGTGTTAGCATGCCTCGCGCTGGGTGTGTCTGACTCGTGGAGGGTGCTGGTGGGAGGGGCGGGGCAAGGGGGGGAGGAGGGAAGGGGGGAAGGGGGCAGTAGGGGGAGGAAGTGGGCAGAAGAAGGGGGAAAGGGGGGGACAGGGGCCAAAGAGGAGGGGTGTGGGGTTGAGGAGTGGAGTAGAGCACCCGGGGGAACGCGGGGCAAGGAGGCGATGGGGATGAGGTAGCCGGGCACGAGGTATCAGCAGAAGGAGAGCGCTGTTATGAGGAAGAAGAAATGGCGCGTGTCAGCATGCCGCGCGCTGGTGTGTCTGACTCTGGAGGGTTCTGGGTGGGAGGGGGCGAGCGGAAAGAGGGGCGGAGAGGGGTGTGGGGTGGGGTGGGGTGGGGTGGGTTGGGGTGGGGTTGTGGAGTAGAGCACAGGGAGTAGAGGGGAGAGTTGGAGTTCAAAGTACCTAAGGAGGGTTGGGGCACAGGGAGATGGCGGGATGACGAGGCAGTGGGCATGGGAAGCAGTGGGCATGGGGAAGCAGTGGGCATGGGGAAAGCAGTGGGCATGGGGAAGCAGTGGCATGGGAGCAGTGGGCATGGGGAAGCAGTGGGCATGGGGAAGCAGTGGGCATGGGGAGGGCGCGTGATTGTTTGACAATGAATTGCTTGACTCAAGCGAGCCGCTACTCTTGGAGATGAGGGGGGGGGGGTAAAAGGTCAGGAGAGGGGAGGTTTGAGGAGGGAAGAAGGCCTTCCTTGCCTGAACCTAGACTTGTGTTTCACGCAAGGATGCTTCGAAAGACGGAGTGAAGGAGCAGGAATGGGAAGGTGGGGTGGGGCGTGGTAGATGAAAAGGAGGCTTACCGATAGAGGGAGACCTTGCTTGCCTGGACCCAGACTCATGTTTCATGCAAGGGTCCCTTGAAAGATGGAGAACGAGGGGGGGAAACGGAAGGTGGGGGGCTGATGGACAGGAGGCGTACCGATAGAGGGAGACATAGACGAGGTCTGTGGGCCACCACATGTGGGCTGGCTCCTGATGAGAAATCATGAGGACGATGGGTTAAGAGGGGGGAGAGGGGGAGGGTGGGAAGCAGGGGAGAGAGGGGGCACATGAGTAATGGGAGACATAGACGAGGTCTGTGTGCCACCACATGTGTGCAGGCTCGTGATAGGGGGCAGTGGGAGGAAATGAGGGGCGATGATCGGGTGGGCAGTAATGGGGGTTACATGAGGGGCAGGGGAGGGTGGGAAGCAGGGAGAGGGAAGGAGAGGGGAGGAGGCATTGGTAATGAGAGACCGAGGCGAGGTCAGTGGGCCACCACATGTTCGCTGGTTCCTGATGGGCGGCAGTGGGGGGAGATGGAGAGAGACGAGGGGCAGCGGCAAGGGAAATGGGGGGAGAAGGGCTCATGAGTAATGAGAGACATAGACGAGGAGGTCAGTGGGCCACCACATATGGGCTGGCTCCTGATGGGCGGCAGCAGCGGGAGATGGAGAGAGATGAGGAGCAGGGGATGTTGGGAAGCGCGCGGGGCAGAGGGGTGGCTGGGAGGGCAGAGGGTGGCAGAGAGGGTGGCAGAGACTGTGAGAAGGGAAGGGAGGAGTGGCATATGACATTGTGTTTGCTGACGGTTGAAACGCGATTGGCATTGCAATGAGGATTGGCCAGCAGCAGCATGTACATGTGTGGCACACA